CTTGATTTTTTAAGGACACTTTAACCGTGTTTTTAAATCGTATGACCTCAGCCATTCGTTAAATTTCTGAACTGATTTTACAACTTTGATGCTGACTGATTTGCTATGAAGTTTTATTGGTCAACAATTTTACTAAATCTGATTCTAAATTAGTTTCAATATCTCTATAAGATCCTAATTATATCACCAAATTCAACAGTTGCTAAGACTGTTAGCTAGGTTATTAAAATCTAATAAAACTTCAAGTTAAACTAGAACAACAACAGAAGTGGGGATAAAAACTTTATAAGACTTCATTATATTTTGCTGTACATATCCTGTGTACAATATGTATTTTTTAATTTCTCAAGTTTCCCAAGGCTTTGGGCGTCTTCAAAGCATGATGAAGATAGCAACAGAAGTCACAGTGTAAATATTACTAAATAAATAACAAGGCTGCATTATTTTTTGACATAAGTTAATTTATTTGTTCAAAACTTCTTTCATAAATCCATAATGGTTTTTACATAGCCTTTCATGAAAAGTTGAAGTGTAAGCAGTTGAGTCAACCTTAATTGTTTAAAACACCTCACTTATTAGTTTAACTTTCATGTAAATTTTTTCATATTTTCAAAATAAAAAAAATATATTACAAGGATATGTGTTATAATCTAAAGAAAAAAGGATATACACGTACGTAAATGTAAGAAGAAAAATTTGCTATACGTGCAGGGATAAACATAATTTCACATTTTGCTTTATATTATTATTAATATTTTTTTATTTTTTTGTAGTAAGATAAAATGTTTTAGAATACTAAGGATTCATATTTTGTACTTTTGAAAAAAGAAAAAAAAGAAATTAAATTATTTACGAGTATGTTTCAAAATGGGAAGCACAAATTTAATAAGTACCAACACAACAAAGAATATAGCATGGCGGGTGTATGTATGACTTCTTCATGAGATGGCATGGATGAAAAAGAATAGAAGGACTTTGATATAATAAATTTTTGCTATTATTTTGAATTTGTGTAAAGGCTTTTGGGACTCTGTTGTTTATGCCAACTTAAAGTTGAAAAGTTAAAAAGCAGCTAATTTACATAAAACCATACATTTATTTCACATATATATTTAAATATGTGTAGAAATATATAGATATATGTGCATACTTATAAAGTAGCATATGAAAAGATGAAAATTATTATGCATAAACTGAGCTAAGTTACATATAAATTAATATAAATTTCTATAAAAATAAATGGAAAATTTTGTTTTTTAATTTATTATATGATTTCATATTTGCTTCTCTGCAAATCCAATAAATCAAAATTTTTTCACTTCTATTAAAATAATAACATAATAAGATTATTTGCTTTTTACGTCTTCCATTTTTTTCGTATATGTAACATCACTCATATAAGTCTATAAGATTTTGCATTAATTTTCATTAATCCAACAGTTCTGATTTGCGTTTTGCAAATTCGAAATGAGTTGGAAATCAATCTTCATTAATATTCAAGTATCCTGCAAACAAACTAAATACTTATATGAAGTGTATGTGTTGTGTTGTTGTGGCGCATATAAAAAGAAAATTTATTGAAATTCATTTCAATTTTCTCGTAAATCAATTTTCTCATTTTTATTTCCATGTCGTATTTGTTGCAAATATCAGTAAGTATCAATCCATACAGTTGAGTGAGTGTATGCATTTGGCTTGACCCAGCTTTAGTGTAAGTATCTTTTTTGTAATATTTACTCTATATACTCTCGAATGTTGCTGGCTATTTTATTTACTATATGACTTCAATAAGCAAATAAAATGCATCGACGCATTTGAATACGAATGCAAAAATAATATTCTTATGACACACAATGTGGCATAGGATAAAGTTTCATTCGTACTCGTTTCATGACATAAGAGTGTATACGGAATTGATTATTAAAATATATCAGTCTATAAATATATAAGTATATATACACACAAATATAACAATATATTTCTATCTTTTTTAATATGTCCAAATTGTATAAGTTATTTGGTTATATGATATTTGGCACAATGACAGCCATTCGATCAGTTAAAATTATTTTTAAAGTATTTTGTGGCTTCATTAGTCAATCGAAGGCATATTCTTCTTTCATTTTTTTTATTTATTTATATATTTATGTATATATTTTTATTTTATTAAAATAAGTTTCGGTTTAGTAAAAAGCAAAACTCAAAAAAAAAAAAAACTTTTTCATTGTTAACTGAATTTATTTAAATTTTAATTTTACAAGTAAATATTTTGTAAGCGGAAAACAACAGTAAAGTACCAGATATGTCAGTTTTATATTGCATTGCTTTGTAGCTCTCGAGAAAAAGTTTTCTACAAAGCTGAATGGTCTATGACAAAATATTAAAAAAAATGGTTTAAAAATTTAAGCAGTTAACGTTTATGAAAAGTTTTATTGTGAGGAAAGTTTATAAAGTTAGGACTTAATTTAAAATTATTGTATAAACGCATAAAATGTAATTTTTTTTGAATGAAATGATAAAAAACAATACTATGGATACATCTGAAAACTAACAGAGATTTCCAAAGCTCTTCTTCTAATAAGTTTTAGATTTAGTTCTGTTTTCTTATATGGTAGTTAATTTGGTTTTAGTGATGGCCATGTTACCTCTTTTGTTCAAGTAACGAATAGGCGACATTTTGTTGCCAGAAACCCGGTTATGAAAATTTTGGTTGAAATATCAATTTATGCAGTTTTTTCATTGGTATTAATTACTATGTTTAAAAAAGATGAAATCTAAATATTCCATCTTTCAGAAGAATACAAACAAAATAGCAATTTTACCATTTAAATTTAAGAGTTAAAACATTTGCTAGGTAAGACATACCAGGCAATTAGAATTCATTAGTCATAACTCCGTATTGGAGATTAATTTATAGCAAGTGATTTTTTTTACTTGCGAAAGATAAAAATCTAATATCACAGGATTAATACCATGCTTCCACTGCTTACTTTGTAAGTTACTTAAGTAACTTTAAGATTTTATCGTTTCCATTGACATAAGTTTCATATTGCATGTGAAAGAGCTTTACTACTGGACTAATAATACCATGTCTCCACTGCTTACTTAGTAAGTTACGTAAGTAACTTTAATATTTTGTCGTTTCCAATGACATAAGATACTTATTGCATGTCAAAGAGCTTTTATGTGTCAGAAAGTTCTTTGAATGTTCTAAAAGAGAGATAGAGATAGAGAGAGACAGAGAGAGGAAAGGAGAGAGAGAGACAGAGAGAGGAAAGGAGAGAGAGAGACAGAGAGAGGAATGGAGAAAAAGAGACAGAGAGAGGAATGGTGAGAGAGAGCTTCTGTTTGTTTAAATAAACTTCACTTAATAATACAACACAAAAGCATTATACATATAATTGATATATTAAATCATTTTTATATATATTTTATATATCTATTACATATTTAATCAATAAAAAACAATGATTTTAAAACTTACTTTCTCAATTCATTTCTTTATAGCTCAGCTGTTGTTTGTTTACATTTTACATATAAAGCATATGACATATTTTAGTAATTTCGTATTTTGGTAATTTTTCTTGCCTTATTTTCAAGTAAATTAAAAAGCACGGAAACTCTTTGTACGGTAAATGAAATTAACCATACTAACATAAGATTAACTTACTAAGTAAGCAGTGATAACATACTATAAGGTGTCCGCATCTTACGTTGTTTTAAACACTTAATTGGCTCAGTAAATGGGTTTTGCACAAAGTTACCAGGATCATTTAAAAGGAAATACCATACATATTCGATTAAAAATCTTCTGAATATCTGATAAGTTTGAATTAAAGGAACTTTTGAACGATAGTTGGTCTAGTTACAACATATGTGCATAAGCTAAATATTATTTGTTCTAATAATCTATACTACATCTACTCTATTTTCTATTTCTCTATTTCTAGCTTATTTTAAAAACTTGACTAGAATTCATTGGAACTCCCAGATTTTTAAAAGCTGAGCTTCGTCCTCTATATTCCTCTATAATGAAACATCGCTTAAAATAAGCTGAGACATTTAGTACTGTAATGTGTTAATGGTACGGATCTTACAGGTCTATATGAGGTCTCAGTTAGCTAGCCGGTTCTACCAATTTAAAAGTTTGATTTGAAGACATGATTTGATTTGAAGTAGCGAATGTGAATAAAAGCAAGCATAAAGTACGCCAATAAAGTTATATTACTTTAAAATTCTATTTCTGTTAAACAAATCTTCTTCGAATTTTTTATTTTGCATATAAAAGTAATAAAAAAAATGTAAATTATTGTTTTAAGGTGTACGGCATTATATTTATCTGAAATCTATGTGAGTCTGGCATACGATTTGAAGTAATTTAAACCATAAAAAGTTTACTTTGTCAGGGAAACAATAAGACTTCCACTGCTGCCACGTGCACTTTTTAAATAATTTTGCTGACATGACGACATGACAACGCATTGACATTAAAACTTTGTGCAGAAATTAATATATATATATGTATATATATATATATATCTATATAAAATAAAAAGCTACTATATGTAGGTATGAATGAGTTGAAAAAAACTTTGCAGCAACTGACAAATGTCAAAAAAAGTAGATTTATATGCTTTTGCTTTTAGTTATTTATGAAATGCAACATTTAACAAACAAAAAACAAAAACAAAAAAGCATTTTAAAAAAATAAAATAATGCAAATTTATATAAGAGAAGACAAACAAAAATCAAAATTCAATGCCGTTGACTCGTTGCAATAATGCACCAGTGTTACCAACTGTTTGAAAAGTATTTTCTTTTATTAAATCAAGCGTACAAGCTGAACAAATATTTTAAAAGCATATTTGTTTCGGTTACAATTTCTTTATTTTTTTTTTTATATATATATATTTTAACAAAGATGAAAAAAAAAAAAATATAAAAATATGTTAAAAAATACAATATTCTGCGAATTATGTGTGCTTTGTACAGATACTTACATTTAAATGCAATATACTCGACGCTGCGGTAATATTGACATTGGATATTATTTGCAAACAATCCTGCTTTTGGCCATGTTATTTATACTTAAACGTTTATTTGCTAGTTAAATTGGATTCACAGAAATGTCACAAAAATGCTGAAACAAACAAAAAATAAATACAAATCAGTCACTGCTTAGAAAAATATTTCTACATAAATTTTTTTTTTATAAACTTAGTAAAATCAAGCGCTTATGGTAATATCTACGAGTGCTTTATGTAAGAGAGATACTGTACATAACTTGTTATAGTTGCAGAATACTTTTTGATATGGTGAGAAATCACTAACTTTATTAATATGTTTGCAACTATTCTGATTTATATTTACAATTTTTATATAGAAATTTTTGCTCATGTTTTTAGTACAGTTATGTAGCACATTTATTTTTTTTCTTAAGTTTTTGTTGTTTTTATGCTATTAATTGGGGTGTAAACTAAGTTAAATCCTGGCTGCACGCGTAAAAATGATTAACTACATAATAGATAAACTTGACGCAATTTGAGCCATTGCACTTGAGCACTTTTACTCTTTATTAACTCCAGGTATCTTCAAAACCCTTCTTTACGCCTTGACTGGATTATTGTTTATCACTTCACCAGACTAAGCAATCATTGACCTCAGATCTGCATACCTCCCCGAGAAGCCTGTAACCATTCTGAGATTCGATAATGCGGTGTTGGTAAGTCTGTTAGTTTTCGCAAATAATTTCAGGGCTTTATCCTTCATGTATTTTTTGATCGGATCAATCTTAAAGTCCTTAAGGATGTCATTGGTCCTTGTACCATAGTACCTTGAAAAGTCTTCCCAGCGCCTAGCTTTGTGCAATTTTTAGTTGGCAAATAGTAGTGTTTGAAGTTTTGTTAAAAGCTACACATCCATATAGAAGTGACGGTCAAATTATTCGAGTATATATCAACTTCCTGTTCCTGCATTGAGATTTTCATTTCTGAATAGCGGTAGAGTGATATATTTAATATATGACTTAATTGCGGTAGAGTGATATATAGATATATATATGATAGCGGTAGAGTGATATATTTAATATATGACTTAATTGTTTTAAAATATATGAAATAATAGATTTAATTTAGATATTATTAACAAAAATTTTATAGATTGTTTTGTAGAATAAATTATATTATTTATATAATTAAATCATAAGCTTTAATGGTAAAATATTCAATTTGTATCTTTATTTAATTTCATGACAGCAAAAACAATTTAATTAAATAATTATACACACAAAATATATTCCAAAGATTTACATATATCAAATCATTTATGTCAGTTCTCTAATTGAAATATATTGGTACATAAAAAATAGTTATAAAATCATTTACAATAATTAAGATTTAATTAAAATTTTTTCATATAATGAATAAAGACATTTAAACTACTAACGTTTCGTATTCAAGGCAGTAAACGTTGAGTACATGAAGTTGATGGGTTGTGAAATAATACTTTACAATAAAATTTTAATTTTCAGTTTTCATATATGTATAAATGTCTTATTATTTTGCGAATGTTTTTTTTTTGTTAAAGTGTTTTTCATCTATTAGACGTCTTATTAGAAATCATTTACCAGACATCGAACACTTAAGTAAGCTAACCTACTGTTTTTTCGATACAAATGCATTACTAATTCCGGTTTAGTAGCAACAAATATATATAAATAATTGCTTTGCTTATTTTTACCTTTCATTACAAAAATAAAAATAATACAATAAAAAGCAGCTACACTAAAAATGCTATTTCTTATTCCTTTGCGGACGCTGTGCAAGACATGTCCGCAACATTAACGTATTTAGTCTTCATCCAGACACATATGCAAAATTTATTTCGAAACATTTTGCTTATTTTTTTCAAAATTTTCTCTAAAGAGCGTCAGTTCAGTTGGTCTTTATATTATGAAGACATCTTCGATGACAAGTTAATCTACTTGCAACTACAAATCTTTGAGAAAATATGTGTGAATAATCAAGAATAAACGATATTTATATTTCTACTGCTGTAGCTACTTTTAAGTACTTTATTAGAATAACCTTTACAAAATAAAAAATACTCGGATATATATTAGAAAATGTTATGTATACCCAAAAATAGAAACCATACTCATTAGTTCTTCAGTATATCCTAAGTAATTTTGAAACTTTTCTTTTTGGAAGTAATAATCACTGCAAGCAATTTAGCATTCAAATGAACAAAAACTCTATTTATATTTAATTGCGTAGGTTTCTAATCCAAAATGTAAGTAATGAACTCTAAATAAAAAAGGTTTTTCCGTCGTCATTTTCTGATCACAAATCCAAAACAGTAATTTTACTGTTGTTGTTGTTGTTTTACAAATTGCACTAATAGCCCCAAGAGCGAATTTCTATTTAGAAAAATATTGAAGTACTCTATTTGCTATTTGCTATTGCTTCAGATTAACTGAAAATGAACTTCACCCAAGTTGATTAAATGAAAAGAAAGCAGGCAATATTGCAAAAATATAAAAGTTATATTGTAATATATAGGGGGAAAAAAAAGAAAATAGAAAGAAAATATTATCTGAGCCTGAAATCAATTTCATGTTAATCAAAAGCATTAATTTTAAAAAAAGGCAAATTTGCTTTGAAATACGTTCGAAGCTTAAGTAACAAAATTAAGTTCAATTCAAAGCAATTGAAATTCTGAATTCCTTTAAGTCCGTCCGTTTGGTCATAGCACTTGTGCATATTAGTCAATGTATTGGAAGTGGTATATTGGAGGGCACATAATACTACTACTCGTATATTTGTATCTGACCAATTGAGCAGCAATTTTCAAACAACATTTATAGTACTTTCTTTCTTCATTACAATATTAACGATGAACGATGGACTTCACAATAAGCTATTTTGTTGTTGCTATTGTAGTAGGCAAAAATATTTTTCATAATTTTTATTTTCATATTGAAGTACGCGGCGGCATTCTCCTATCGTTCAAGTAGAGTTAATGGAATGGTACGAGTGGAATACTTCATTGGTCGCAACTTTTGTTGTTTGCAATACTTCGTTACGCGCATTAAAATTCAAATTGACGTACTGTAATTACACTCAATTGACCCTTGAAAAATTGTTGCCAACCCTAGTTGACCTTCCATTGTTGCAACTTGTTGTTGGGGTAGTAGTAAGGTTGATTTTACATTTTCAGTACTTTATGATATTGTATTTTCTCGATGTTTTCACAACAATTTTAGCTGTTTTCACCATAAAATGCTCCACTGAATAATGCCATCGATAGAGCAGAAATTTATGCGAAAATACACAATAAGTATAGGAGCTGTAGCACCAGCAGAGAAAAAGGTTCATCCGCTATTGTCACAACTCATTTGACCTTTACACTCCCAAGTTTTTACTTTCGTTTGCGCAACTTGGTCAACATTGTTCCAACCAGCCAGTCCTTCTCTGGTTATACCATCTAACCAATCAATTGCTGTAATATTATTTAAATATTTCTATTTTTTCTGTCATTTGTGCTATTTCGAGCTGAGGTTTTATTTTTCTATGGATTTCTATGGAATTCTTGTTATTGCGCTGCTCAATGAACTTTGAAACACGGTAAAATCAATGACGCGAACGCTTTTCAAGCATTGGTTGACAAAATAATAATATTGTAATACTGCACTGAGAATGAAGAGAACAAACAGCATTCGTTTAATAAAAACAAAAACGAATATTACAATTCAAATGTTAAATGAGGAGAAAACACAATAAATGAACTTATTTATGCTAAAATGTTGTTTACAAATTTGCCATTCAACGCCAACTTTCAACACCGAAGGTTCCGTCGTTCCCTACCGGATAATAATCAAAGGAGTTATGATGTTCAAACACAATACATGTACAAATAATAAATTCTTAAATATATTTTCTGGTGGTTTTATCTGATTCTGTTTCATTGGAAATAAGGCAATACCCACTCTACCCCTAGCATTTTGTTTGCAGTCATTATTTGAAGATTATTAGGAATGATATGTTTGAGTTTACTTTGTTAACGAGCTCGAACCCGTGCTGAACTACTAAGCCCGCAAATACATTTTCCTTTGTTCAACGTTGACAATTGCCACAGTTGAAAGTACTTTTCAAAGTAATACGGAAATGATAACGAAATAAATGTTAAATACATGAACATATAATATACAATCTGAAAGCCTTTGCATTAATACTTTTCATAAATAATGTTTGCTTTTTATGTTAATAATGTTAAACATCAGATAAATGATTAGCTTAACATGATGAAAAATTTAGCATAGCAACTGTTATAGCAACTTCTAAGCCATAAATATCAAAAACGCTTTGACTTTAATATTATTAATACATTAAACTTTATATTTAATAAATTCAATGATTTATGATGTTTTTTTATTTTTCTTGAAAACCCTGACATGAGATTCGGTGTTCCTTTAACATGTTCAAAAAACATTTAGCACGTTTACTATAATAAATGCTATTTAACAAAATAAATGACATTTATTGTAACATGATTTTTGATCAAAGTAATGCAATTTTTATTGTAATAAAATTAAAATACTATATTTGTTACGTAGGGTCTTATTTGAAATCTGAAATATAGTAACGAATTGCTTTAACACGTGCTAATGAATTTATAACAAGTTTATTATAATAAATGCTATTTAACATTATAAATGACATTTATTGTAATATGAATTTTGATAAAAGCAATGCAATTATTATTGCAATAAAATTCAAATATTATATTTGAAATCTGAAATATAATAAAGAGTTGCTGTAACAGGTTCATATAAATATATAATGTGTTTAATGTAATAAATGCTATTTAACATAATAAATAATATTTATAATAATTATAAAATCGACGTTATCATTATTGCAAGGAAATAAAAATAATAGCATGAATTGTTAAATAATAAAAACTATTACATAGGGTCTTATTTGAATAGTGAAGTCAAAGTTTTCGTACGAATGCAGCATTCGCAATGGACGTTTCCGATTTTTTTAAATCGTGTTACGTGAAGTTTGTTTGTATATCGAAGAACCAAAACCAATTATACAATTTCATAATTATAAAAAATTGGTATAGCTGATTATTTAG